GCAGTATACAAACAATCAAACAAACATCATCAAAAACATGATCAGTTCTACATACGAATTATAAAACTAGATAAAGAGATCCAATTAAACACATGAGTCAAAAACGTACTTGTTCATTAATTTATTGAGGAAAATTATACAGAGTCAGTTTGGTTAAGGTGCTGGCCCTGGAAACCAGGAGACTGTGAGTTCTAGCTCTGCTTTAGGGATGAAAGTCAGCTGGGGGATTTTCAGCTAGTCACTGTTTTAGTCCAACCAACCTCACAGTGTTTTTGTGGAGAAGAGGTTTGAGTTCTACATATGTTTGCTACCTTGAATTATATATTTAAAAAGTGGGATAAAAACATCATCATCATCATCATCATCATCATCATCATCATCATCATCATCATCATCATCTCTCTAGATTATTGTCTTTTCCTCAACAGCAGGTGACAACCAAACCCAAGAGGAATTTCAACAAACCATTTTGTACACCAATTACATCAATTTATACTCAAGGTTAGTCATGCTTTGGTCACTTTCTGTTTGGATTCTGGCAATGCCCTCTATCTGGAACTCTTCCTTCAGAACACCCAGATAGTTATGTACATACCACAACACGTCCATGTACTGCAATTACTTTATTAGCTTCATGGGCTGCTAGAAGGCTTCTAAGAGTAATGCAAGCACTGGTAATCACCTATAACTGTGACGGCGAACCTATGACATGCTTGCCAGGGGTGGCATGCAGTGCCCTCTCTGATGGCATGCAAGCCGTTGCCCCAGTTCAACTCCGGGACGCGTGTCGGTGCGCTTTGGGCATTTGGTCCGGAAAAGGTTAGCCATCATTGGATTAGGCTGTTTCACCCCTGGCTCAAACAGGAAACCCTACACCCATGATGACGAACCTATAGTACATGTGCCAGAGATGGCACGCAGCATCTTCTCTGATGGCACACGAGCCGGCGCTCCAGTTCAGCTCCAACACGCATGCACGTGTGCCTCCCTCTGGCCAGCTGGCCTTTAGGTCTCTGCCGTACATGTGTGTGGGGAGGGGCATGTACGGGGGCACGCGTGCATGCACAAGGCTGGGTGCATGCATGGGGCGACATGCACATGCGCAGGGTGGTGGGATGCATGCTGAGGGGTCATGCACACATGCACGGTGATGCATGCATGGAGGATGCATGCACAGGGGATGCATACGTGGGACACATTGCATTTTCTGGGTTCGGCCGTGTGCGCTTTGGGCACTCGGTCCGGTAAAGGTTAGTCATCACTGACCTATAAGGTATCTATGACACATAGTCATGAAAAAAATCCATGTAGTCACTAAGAGTTGACACAATTTGATGTCATATAATCAATTCCGTCTTTAAAAAAACTATGGACTTCTGTGAATGGGCTTAGTTTTAAGGTCTTGATTAGTGGATTACATACTTTACAATATTAAAAATTGTAGAACAGGAACAACAAATAGGAACACAGAAATTAGTAAGAATACTGAGGAGCATTTTATAGTCCTATAAGCAAATTATTTTTGAAAAAAAATGCTGTTCAACATTTACACCTCATTTATAATCAAAGAGTAAACAATGAGAAATATTTCTAGGTATTATTCTATTTGAATGAATTGATTTAATTTTCATTCCATCTCTAACATAAAAAACAACATGGTCCTTCTGATCAAAGTACCAAGGAAGCAGCAAACAGAGCTCTCCTTTATTGGAAGTGTTGAAGCAAATGAAGGAGAATTTGTGTCAGGAACACTTCAATCTGGAATCAAGTTTAGGATTGGATTTGATGGAGTAAATAGCCCCTGCCAACCTCTTGATAACCTCTTATTGTCATGAAACATGGTAGTCCAGAAAACAGAAGTTGAATTCCACTTCGCTGGAAGAATTGTCTTCTCAACCATAAGAGATAGCAATGGCCTCCTCTACCAAAAAAGTAATCTCTATTCCCTCCCCTCCCAGCTTCCAGGAGTCTGACACGGCAAATCAAATGAGGGCTCCAACAGTGCAACAACACTACTGACATGGTGGAGGTGACCAAACTATAAATTCTGCATAATATTTCAGTTGGCTTTAGAGAAGGCAGACAAACTGATATTCATAGGATCCAGTATTAAGGGTTTCTATCTCTCTATACTTCATTTTTTCTTTATATTCCTTAACCTTTTTTTTAAATGGAATTTGAAATGCTATGAAGTGATAGCTTTTATTATGACTCTTCTTATTATTTATAAAATGATGGGTAACCCACACTCTGCATGCACCTCCCAAATAAATTTTAGCAATAAAATCTTGTGTCATTTTTTGAGTCTGGGCAAGGGGAGTCAAGGATTACTAGTGGTTGTCTGACAGAGATCTCCCATTCATATGCTTCCTCTTAACCTCATAACTTCTCTAAATGTCAACCAGGCTCTTTCTGTTGATGTCTGTGGATGGTAGCTGAAGGTTCTTCTGAAAACTGGGAAGTTTAGTTTTATTCTCAACCCCTCAGAAGATGCCCAACCAGACTCGACGTTGAATTTCTTTATTGGAATCCAAGGTCACTAAATTCCCTTATGTGCCAGGTAATCACAGATCAATGCATCAATTAATTGATACCAAAATTAAGCGTAAGTTTTCTTCTCTTCCCACTACCATAATCAAACACCTTTAAGGCCAATGAGGTTAAAAAAACATCAAGTATGAACTCAATGTAATGTCTACCATTCTTCCAATCACATGTTCAAGAGTACATTAAATATTTGTAGTAGTTATGATTTGATATCAAAGCAGTTGAAATATATCTTGCATTGTAAATTCTTCTATGGAGGTTTAAGGAAAGCAAATATTTTTCACAAGATTCAGATTTCCCCCTCCTGCCTTAGGGTATATATCCGTGATGTCGAATCTAAGGCTCGCATGCCCAAGGTGGCACGCAGAGCCCTCTCTGGGGGCACATCCGCTGTCGGCAGCTGCTCTTGAGGTTTCCGACACACGCAAGCATGTGCCAGCCAGCTGGTCTTTGGGTTCCCGGTGCTCTAGCGTGTGTGAAGACCAGTTGGCCAGTGTGCATGCGTGTGCCGGAATCCCAAAGATCAGGTAGATAACTCACACATGTGCACTGGCCACTTGATCTTTGGGTTACTGGAGTGTGCGCATACGCACACACACATTCCAGTTTGGGCACTCGGTGCCGAAAAAGTTCACCATCACTGGTATATATACTCAATATTAACAAGGAAAAAAACAATTCAGCAATAACACTTAAACTTATATGCTGCTTCATAGTGCTTTACAGAACTCTCTAAGCGGTTTACACAGTCAGCATATTGCTCCCAACAATGTGGGTCCTCCTTTTATTGACCTCGGAAACTGGAAAGCTGAGTCAACCTTGAGCTTGTCAGGATTGAACTCCTGGCAGTGAGCAGAGACAGCCTCCAATACTACATTTTAACCACTATGCCACCATGCCAATTTATTATTATAATTCATATTTAAAAGCAGACTGATAACTTTATTTAATTATCTGTTACAGTAATATCCTGTCTTTCTGCCAGAAGCCCAATAAATTTTACAAGTATTGGCAGTGAAATGCTTCTGAATTAGAAATCACTGAAATATTTCCAAAGTCTCACATACTATCATATCTTCTTCTGTGCCCCTTATCATCATGTACAAATTCACAAAATGTCGAGGGGACAAAAAAGGTGGTGACCCCAATTAAAACAATACTGTCAGAAACCTTACAGTAGTACACTTTTATTTACAAATTTTTTAAAATGCCTGTTATTCTAGTTTCCTCAATTTGGTTTGCAGCACTGAATTTACTGAATCAGTAAAATTTGACAAATTTCTCACTTTTCCATTGCTAACTACAATTGTGCTTTCTTGTGAAGACCTTCCTTATTTAGGTCAAAAAGATTTAGTAAATTATTGTGTCATATATCCAGAATAATGATTCATGTATGATGATTCCCACATGTTGAATCACTAGTTTCTGAGGGATGCTCTTGGGCAAACATACAGCACAAGGAGCTAGTATATCTAATCAGCCTTCTTCAACCTAATATTGTCTTATCAATATTCATTAATTCAACTAGTATGGCCAAGTTGGGGAAATCTCATCTAAATATAAATATAAAGTTTCTATGTAAAATTGGATCTTAGTCACAAATCTAAGCCCTTTGAATAGTAGATCCTATTATAGATAAGTTATATTCATCCCACCAAATATGTATTTTAACTGTATTACTGAATAAAATACAACCCCATGGAATCATTCTCTTCCATTTATTTGATAAAGCATGTTTTGTACACTAACAAACTTTTATTTTTCAGTGAATATAATAAAACAAATTTTAAAAAATCACCTATAAAGTCTAATGTGATTGTTTTACTAAGTGAATCAACTGGAAATCTAATTAGACTTCATAATAATTATTGCAAAATACTTATATGAAAATGAAAATGTATAGTCCTTAATTGGAGCATGTTAAATCCTCCATACTTTTGTTCTGTCTTTCAATGTATATTATAACCCAGAATAAATATATTAAAACTGTAGTTAGCCTAATCAATGAAATTTAGTTCCAAACAAATACTTCTAGAATCAGGATATAGATAAATCATGCTACATTTTAATAAACAACTGATTAAAATCAAGCATTTGCTATTCCATATGCTCTCTACAGATGCAGGGATGGGCCACAAATAACAGGCAGATTATTATTATGCACAGGCAAGGTGCAGTGCTTAACCCTTTATTTCTGCCTGATTATCTCTTCTTGCCCCCGCCTTTTTTTCACTGAAATCAGAGATTTGTAAGACATCAAAAATATAATAGCAGAGAAAAACAGCATACATCTATGTTATAAAATCAAATAACAATATAAAATGAGAATATGGTAAGGCACTATTCTGTTCCTACAATACCTGAAAGAAAATAAGGTCAGAGAGGGAGCTACCTTCTTGAAGGAATTCTTAAAGCAAAACATCAAAAAGCAATGAAATCACAGAGCAACTTACATTTGCAGCATAACTTCATTTAAGAAAACTCCATCTAGAAGTGCAACATATTCTTCCAGGTTGGTTGCATTTTGTCCAGCTAAGGATCCAAATGTCTTAACCTAGAACACAGAACATATTTATCATCACTATGACACGAATTCTGCTTGTACTTGGCAAGAAATCCTTTATATAAATTCCATTACTGATCAACAAATGCTTACCCAGGTAACAAGTGGGCTCGATACGAAGACCTCCAAAAGAGGTGTGAATATCTCATTTTCCATGTTTTAATAAAATATCTGAATTACAAAAGGTTAGATGAGAAAAGTCTCTTCTTTGCGGTAATTCCGTGAAATGCCCAACGTCTTCAGGAAGAATATACCCTGGCTAGTTCCCAAATAAAATTCAAAAGTAGTCAGAGCTGTGGCAACAAAGATTTCATTATCCACCTCGTCCAAAAACGGACTGATCGAGAGGCCATGGACGTTCTTGGGGTTTTTCGCCTAGGGCTCCGATTGACTCTTTCTTCCTCCTCTTTCCGCGCTGAAGGGGAAGGAGAAAGGAGAAACCCGACGGCGATCCTACATCAGCCGCAAACTCTCCCCCCCACCCCCCTCTCTCTAGGCTGCACCACCATAAGCAGGCTAGCCGCAGGCATGCGAACGGGAGGAAATTTCAAGGAAACTCGCCCCGACAGCTAATTTTAAACCCCCAGCTAGCAAAAAACCGTACGTATGACAGGAAAAGCAAAAATCGCATTCTCCTTCCCAACCACTCGAGAAGTCTCTTAGATTCAAGCTGAGAAGAGGTCGCCCTCTTTCCTATCCAAGCCCCCCCCAACACACACACACACACACACACAGACACACACACACGTACGTTTCCCCCTTTCCCAGGCAGACAGGACGCCCGCCGGTTCCTGCGCTCACCCCACCCAAGAGCCTCGCACTGCCCCTTTCTGTGCTACCTCTATTTCTCGCCTTGTCCCCAAAACCTTCCTTACTTTAGGGGTAACTGAGCAACACCCATCAAAAATGAAGCAGAGCCCCACCCCCTCGCCTAGTCCCTCGGCGCTCGCAATTGATCGCTCCCTCCCGCTCGGTTCCAAGGCTACCGGCAGCCCCAGCCTCTCCCTTCCGCAGCTTCTTTCACAACCACGGCCCCCTCACTCCCTCCCACCCCACCCCACCCGACTTCTTCGCTCCCTTAAGCCCTTATTATTCGCTCCTCCTCTACACCCCACCACCCTCGTTTTATTCCCCCTTTTCTAGTAGTTCAGTTCCAGGAGCGGTTCTCCAGCCACTCCCCCCCCCCCGCCCAAGCCTACCATCCTTCCCTTCCCTTCTAGGGACTAATTTTCCGCTTGCGGGTGCGCACACCCACTGCCGTCTCCCTGAAGTAACGGCCACCGATCTTCAACAGATTCGCATGGCTCACACGCGCACTCCCCTTCCTTTCGCTTCTGTAAGGAAGAGGAGAGAGATCCCTCCGCAAAGCAGGGGAAAGGGGGGGGGGTTGACTTTTTTTTTCTTCTTCTTCCTTGCAATCTGTAGGTTTCGACTTTATTCCTCCGCCGCTGGACTGACTGATGTTGGAATTAAGGGAAGGGGAGGGACGAGTGTTGAGGAAGGCAGAAAAACCGCTGCAGGGCGCGCGCGAGGAGCGCACCCGGGTCGGCCGCAGCTGCAGACCCAGCGAAGGGCGCGCGCCGAGCAGCTTATAATGGAGAGAGGAGGAAAAATACTAGTATGCTTGGGAGGAGGGTAGCATGATAAAGAGGTAGTAGATTTTTCCCCCTATATGACATGCCACCAAGTCTGGAATTCTGGCTTGAGTATGTAATGTATATGAATGTTCTCTCTGGATCCTGCATTTGCTTCCTTTATGCATTAGAAAAAGATGAGTGAAGAAGATAAATAATATATTATATGCAGATCTTTATGACATTAAAAAAATAGTGGGTGAATTCCTTATGTGGGGAAGGCTGGAAAGATTAAATATATTTTTGTCCATGTTAGAAAGGACTAATTCTATTTCCATCATAACCTCCAAGCAAAAATAGTACACTGGAAGAGTTCTTTTCCTGTCTGCATTGCATGGATGTTGATGTGCTCCATGACTATATATCCCATGGCTATCATTCTGTTGGATGGTCTTCATTCCACTTGGTGGCTCTCAATCTATTCCTTAGTTTACTGTATGAGATCTCTGGCTGCCTTTCAGTTACAGGACATTTCAGTTTTAAGTGTCTTGTACTACTTCTGGAGTGAAATATTTTACTTTCAATATTGCCATTATGGTCCAGTTGGTGTCTATCAAGTCCCTTGTACAGAGGGGCCATTTTTTTCTGGTCTCTGAGCTGTCATTCTGAGAAGCCATTATTCCACCATTCCTTTGTGTCATGCAATTCTCCAGTATTGGGGGAGTTCATTAATATTTGATGTAAAAGTTTACCAAACTAGGAAGAACATACATAAAAATATTAGAGAAAAGAATAACATTTAATGTAATAAAATAAGTGCAACATTTCTATCACTGGCGTATTTTAAAATAATAAAATGAAAAGGCTTATACAACTTTGCCTTATTCAACTCTTTCTTAGGACATTCCTTGGTCTACCATACTGAGAAGGTATAAGCAAAAGAAAAAAAGATAAGTCAGATGAGAGTTGGCAGAATAATCAATAGCTCGCATTGCAATCTAGGACACAGAAGAACAGAGATAACTACTGGCAGATATGTCTTCCCAAAGGTATCATCCAATTAAACTAATTGCTGCTAGATTCAAGACAGACAAAAAAACCCACTGTATTTTATTGCACTTTAGGTACCAACAAATTTATTATAGCAAAAATTTTCATGAATTTATAAATGAATTTATCAGATGCATGAAACATCATTCTAACATATATGTATTGTACATGAAAGGGCAGACATCTACGTAACTATGTCACTGTAAAGGTAAACGTGTAATGGAAAAAAACCAGTATGATAATTAGATCTAGCCTGTACTCAATTTACCATGACAGTATTTTTTTCCAGAGGACTAAGATTTACACAAACCCACTTTATAAGGCTATTTACTTGCAGACAGAAAAATATTAAAATCTCATAGTAAAAAGCATGCAATAAAATTAAGCAGTTCATATACCGGTATTTAAATAGTAAGTTTTTATTTTAAAGTGTTGCCATTAGCAATATTTAAATCCTTAAAACTACGGAAATTTAGCAGCAGCAGCCCTGTGACATACGTAAGCTTTACCCCTGTTAGGTAAAAGAAAAGCTAGATACACAGGGGAAAAAAGGAACTTCTAATTCATCAGTCTCAGGATATTGTGCAACAAGATGTGCGGTTGATTAGCAGATTTTATTATTTTAAAGCAAATGTTAACTTTTGGCAGGAGGTTAAATAAAGACCTTTTACCTTTCCCACACCAAAAGTCATGCTTCTAAAAGTAACCAGGGCCAAGACACAGACAAAAACTATTACTTACTTTTTAAAGTATTTTGTATACTTATATTTATTATCATAAACTAATGAAATAGTTGGTATGGTTATTTCTCATGTACTGAAGGATTTTTCACTCCTGTCACATTAAAAAGTATAACCTAGGTGAGAGGATTTTAAAAATAGTTTTTATTAAATGATTTTAAATTCATAAGAAATACATTAAAAAAGATATAATAAACGTGAAAAAAAATTAAAACGGAAAAGAAGAGGCAGAAAAAATGATGTACAAAGACAGAAAACATGAGAATAAATATAAAGGTATGGCTTCCAATCTTCAAACTCTCTCTAATATTACATCTTTCATCCAGTCTTTCATAACCTTTCTCTAATTATCAAAGCCAAAAGTCTCAAAATCTTTTAATGCAAAAATCCATAAGATGAATGTCAATATCTATCTTACTCTAATCAAAGAAGTCAATTTCACCATTTCAGCAAGTTCTGTCAATTTCACCGACTCTCCTCCATGGTACAAAATCTTCCTATCTTTTGCATATAATAATATTGCTGCAGCAGTCATGTACTAAAACAATCTTTCATGACTCTTCTAAATGTATCCATCAGTCCTGAAAGGAAAAGTTCTGGCTTCAAATGGTGTCATGTAACAATACCTCATTTTATAAAAAATCTCTTTTTTTAAGTTGCCTTTTTGACTATATATTTTTCTATTGACCTATCCATAATTTTTATACCCAAAATACTTACCATATATTCTTACCATATATTCTTTAACCTGTTCTTCTATTTCAAAGTCAACAAAAGTTTATACATTTTATCAATTACACGTTCATCATTATTACACAATTGCACTTCAAATTCTTATTTTGCTCCAATATAATATTTTAACCATTTAATTTTTTTCTGATAAATGTAAACCATTGATAGCTGTATCCTACTGCCATTGATTGCTCTTTTGATTTGAGTTTATATTTGATTGATTACATTAAATGATAATTCTGCAATAATTCCTGGTAGTTAGCAATTTGTCTTTTTTTCACTTCTATAAAATGCTTCTTGTGCTGAGATTCATAGAGATGTTTTCAGCACAGCCATATCTATTCTATATTCTCAGTATGAAATGTCTAATAAAGTGATTTTGAAATCACTTTAACTATAACAAAACATAACATAGATATCCATGCCTCAGTTATGACTTTCTAAATCTGTTGCTATTGCATGTTTTTCAGCAACACCCATTCCTTAATCCAAACCAAAGAACAAGCTGCAAAGTGCAATTTCAAATCCGATAAAACCAAACCCCCTCTTTGTAAATAAGAAAATTGTTGTTTCTGCAACTGTTCTGCTCATTCAATCAAAATGAAATTGACTATAAAGAAAATACCATTACCTCCCCCATTCTTAATCCTCATAATCTGCCTACAAGCATCAGCTTCATGGTGAATGGTTTACATTCTATCTTTCTTCCAGAGCAGCACTTGTTATACTCCTTTTGCATTTTTTCCTCCAGAGCAACTCTGCAATTTATTAGGTTGAAGAAAAATGTTTGGATCAAAATCACACAGTGACCTTCCGTGCTGAGGGTGAGCTAAAAGGTAGCTTTCACTGGACAACAAAGATTTTGCATCCTGGACATGTTTGGGTGTTTCCTTACAGATTTTGGGCTGCTAATCATGAAAATAACCTGTAATTTAACCTACCACATACCATTTTATAGAAACCTTCTGTTTTTACTCAATGGGCATTTACATCTTCAGCATCTGTTGGCTATGCTGCACACCAGTGTGGGTTCCTACCGATTCGGACCAACAATTTTAATTGCATTGCACATGCAGCGGGCATCAAGCATGCGTGCCAAGCGCACACACAAGCAAACCAGCAATAGTGGCTGCCGGAACCCACCCCTGCTGCACATATGAAAGAAACATGAAAACACAGAACAGGGGTTGAAGCACATTCAGTACACCAAGTACAACTGGAATATCTGGATATCTAAAAGTAGTGGTTCTGCTGCTTGGAATGCAGTTTGGATATACCAAGTATTGTTATTATGTGAATGGGACAATCATGCAAGAGAGTTGCATTACATTAAAAAGAAATGGCCTCTCTCCCTCGGCATGGCTAGACTACATGACTCTGTCTAGGAAGTTGGTGCCATTTTCAGAGAAGCCACAATGAAGATTTTCTATATATGAATTTCTGCTTTTTAAGTGTGTTAATCTGCTGGAAGATTTCATATAAAACAATTAGAATTTACTGTTTTGGCCTGAATTGTAGATATATTCAGTTGTGCTCAAATTTGCTATAAATTGACAAAAAGTTAATTTTCATGTGACCATTTATCAAATGTTGTTGACATTTTGCTTTGAAAAACTTTGTACACCAGCTGTCACCATTAAAAAAAAAAGTTTTGGCTGACAAAAAAAAACCATGTGATGTTACTATGGAAAAGGTCTGCTGATCTCACCAAAGCAAACAGAAGAGAGTTGTTCTTTCCCTTACTGAAGTTTGGCAACAATATTATCTCCAACCTCTATTCCGAGCAAATATTAAATTTGCTGTTTAGTTGGCTT